TCCCTGAGTCTTCCTTTTTTTCCTTTTCAAAAATGGGGGTTATATTTCCCCTTTTCCAGTCAGTGGGAAGTTCACCAGACTGCCTCAACTTCCTGAATATGATGAAAAATGGCTTAGCCACTATCCACCAGTTCCCTTAGGACCCATGGATGCACCTCATTAGGTCTCATGGACTTGTGCACCTGTGTCTGTCAATTGCTGGTACTTTCTGAAATGCTCCCCAACGTTTGGCATGCATGAAGACAGAAAGGTTGCGGACAGAACTTGCCAATGTTTAAGCCAAACTGCAAGATGGTGCGGAGTTGGAGGACAAGCACTGCAACCCAGTCACTTAACACTTCATTTTGTCATGAAGACAGCAGAGAGGTGCTATGCTGTGCTCTTGCTGTGAACCAGGAAACTGAAGGGAAGGCAACAGGCTTGAACAAAGACACCCAGGAACTGCAGTGATGTTTGTGAGCCTTGCGAAAGGACGTCCAAGAACATTCTCATGCACCTGCTTCCCTGCTCATTTTACACAACAACATGAGCAGACCCACTGCTAATTTTCTGTTGAAAGAACCTTCTTCGGTTGCTGTCCTTAAAGGCGTTGATGCTTTGTGCAAATGCCAGCCTAAATACCTGAAACTGGCTTCTCCCAAACACCATCACGAGTGCCAGCATGCATATCGAAGCTAATAGGGATTGTGTAAACTTTGGTTTCTATTTGTTTGAATGAGTTTGAACAAAATGAGCCATGTTTCTGTGTGGTACTTCATTGTGTCTGAATTGTCCCACTGATGTTCATGTCACTTGTGGACTCCTGTGAGCCCACGGAGGTGTTGTGTTGCAATGAACACTCTGTTTTGCACAATCCCAACTGTAGCACTACATAAACAGGAATGGTTCACCCTCCCTTTGCTTGTGAGTGACAGGCAGATATTTACTTTCTGCAGCTAGGACACCAAAGGCAGTTACCCAGACATGGAACACCACCTTACACCGATCTCATTACTCCTCAGGCAGCAGTTTTAACAGTCCTGGTCTAACTTTCTACTCCGTGCGTTGGGAGGAACTACTCCAACCTTAAATGTCCCAGTTCTTCCCTTTTTATCTGCATGTAATTGCTACTGATAAGGTTGGGAATGAAATGAACTTTCCTAGATGCACATCTAAGACTGTGTTGTGCATCCTGCTAAATGGTGTCTTTCAGGAAACATGATCTACTTTTGTGAATGGAAGTAGCTCATTTGTATTAGATAGCTTCCACCAAAAAGACACAAAGAAAAACCCTAGAAAACCAGAAAAAAATCCCAGAAAACCACCAGGAAGAAAAAAAAAATCAAACCCCCAACCAAAACCCCACCCCCCCCCCCCAAAAATCCCAACACTCAGAAATCGTATTCTGCTCTGCTGCACTGTCAGCATCTGTAGGGTAGTTCTGGTTTCCACCTGTAGAAATTGGAAGAAAGCTTGCCTCTGCTTTTAAAGATGGTAAAGTCTGTACCCCAAAATGAGGAGATCAACTACTTCAAGCTCAATAAAGCCAAACCAGCCATGTGTGTGCATGCCTTCTTTGTAGCATTTGGTGTATTTGAGAAGCCCAGAGGTAACTTGCTTTCAGAAGAGGAGCAAGGGCTAAGCAAATTGCTCAGACTCTCAACAGAGGTCTTTGGCAGGACTGGGTGGACACGTGTGGCTATGGAGCAAGATAGCATGCCAAGCTGTGTCCGAAAAGCAGGAGGAGATGGGACTGCAAGATGATGCCCGCATGTAGTTGCACCCATGTGTGACATACCACTGTGTTTTGTAGGTACATGGTTGAAAAACATTTCCACATGGCCCTTTGTCTCAAGGAGACATCCATTCCACACTCGGGCTTTTAAACTTTGTCATTAAGAGGTTGCTGTTTTGGTACAAAGGGCAGCCTTAGCATAGGGACATATGGCACTTTACCTCAGTAGGGCCCTTGTAGTCCATATGAAGCCAGAGCCACAGGTGGCCAAGGTTTGAAAGCACCTTTTCTCCCCTTCCTCTGTGACTTTGCTATAACAACAGGAATGTGTTATATGAAGATGCCTGCTGCGGTACAGGATGCGGGCTGGCAAGGGGCTTCTCTCATGTGCTTGAGGCAGGACCAGAAACCATGCTTGAAGGGGGCGATTAATGGAAGAGAAGCTGCTTACTCAGGGACCAAAGGGAACACATCTTTCTTGAGAATAATGTTTTGGTTGAGAAACATGCTTTTAAAGTCAATCCTGCAGCTATATAAGCCAACAAGGAAGCTTTCAGTTTCAGCTTTTTTTGTTGCACAAGCTCACAATGCCTTTACATATATATATTTTGAAGAGAAAACTATGTAGAGCACTAGGCTTCACCCATATGATCTTTTATCTGAAAAAGGTAACGTCCAGCTATCTTGTCCCAGACACTTGAGCATGAAAGGAGCAAAGTGAAGAAATACTGCAATAACCTTTAGAGTGGTTTTATTTGCTCTAGTGCTACAGATGATGCAGTGAGGGAATTGCTACCATAGCTTTTTACTGTGCTTAAACAGCTGTCATTTTTACTATGAACAAGTCCACACCCAAAAAGTAACATCTTAACACAATTGGATGCACAAAGTTCTGCTTAAAAGGCCGTACATGTTTAAGAGCATAGCATAATGATTTAAGCATAGAGCTGCAGTGACAAGTTTTATACCAGTAACATTAACAGCACAAAACCCCCACAGCTTGTCTAAACGTTTTAATACACTTGAAGCTTGAGTTTTGTGCAACTCCTCTAAAATCAATGTAAAATTGAGCAAATTCCTGCTTTAATTTTTTCTTTGACTTCTGCATCTGCTGTGAATCTTTCCAGATTTTTTAGTAATTTTGTTCAGCCTTATTCCCCTACAATCTGTTTCTTTTCCTTTTAAACTTGGAAGTCTGTAACTCTTGATATTTAAACTACACATCAAATGCTTCAATATGATTTAGAGTACAGATGAGAAATCTCAGTTCTGTAAATGGGCATAGGGTTATATGTTCCTAAACTCTGCATCTGTCTTTCTAGGTAGTAACTTCCTCCCTCCCTCCCTCCTCTTTTTCTCTTAAGGTTAGTATATGGGCTAATTATCAAACTGATGTTGCTCACCTGAGTCTGTTCTTGGCAGTAATTTAGAAGACCTGGTAGAAGAATTGACATCTGATTTTAACAAAAGCCAAGTGAGGTATACAGCAAACACCCTAAAAGACAATGTAAGCTTGCTGCACATGAATTCATTAAATCTTTTTGTAAATTACAGCTTCACATGGCTTGAATTTGAAAAATTATTAGCTAAATTCCTGTGGGGCTCAATTTCACATGTCAGACTGCTTGCATTGTTCTCATAAAAATACAATATACTATACCAGAAATAATTATTTTAAAAACTTGGGTATTTGTACACCACGCAAAGTTAAGGCAAACCTTACTTTGATGATAGCATTGCAAGGCTCTGTGTGTTGAAGCCAACTACCAAGCTGCTCATGTTAGTTTACATGGTGCTTAATCGTGATTTCATGTTTATTGAAAGGATACAGGAGCATGCTGTTCCTCAAAACATGCCAAAAATATACATAAAACTTGTTTTAAAAAATATTTGTGTTCAAAAAGTTAAAAGTATTTGGTAACAATAATTATAATGACAATAAGAAGAAATGTTGTAACCCTGACTAATCCCCTGTTTCTACATAACTCCCTTGATCGGCACACACAGTCTGGGCACAGGTTACATTCCTGAGTGCTAGGCAGCTTTCAAAATACCCAAGTTTTAAACCAGCAGTACCCCTGTGTTGTTTCTTCTTCTGGCTTAATGGAGAACTAATTCATTTAGCTAAGATTTCAGGGATGCAAGTTCTTACATATTTTTGTGTAGCTCAGGCTATTAGGCCTCTTAATTTTAGTTCCTTTATTTCCAGGAGGACAATTATGGGGAATTATGATTGCAGAGAGAACAACTAGGAGAAGACCCTTGAAGGAAGGAGAAAGATCTAATGGAGATGCAGTGCAGAAAGGCAAGTAGGGAAGACATGTTCAGCACTGACCTGTACTGCTAAGCAGCTAGGATGTTACATTTTTAGACAGGATGGAGTTGTACTTGTGGGTAAAGAGAATTTCTGCAGCAATACCTGTGCAGTATTGGTCTGACCAGCTCTCCAGACCCCTTTAGACAAGAAGCGGTTTCACTGCAAATGGTTTTCAGGACCACAGATGTTAACCTGACACCCATGCGATGTTGGGCATGCTTGGGAGGGTCACCTGAGCCGCCTTGCCTCCAGGTCCAGGTTCAGTGCGGCAGGGGGCTGGATCTCAGCAGTAGTGGGGCAAGCCTGGACTTTCCTTTTTGCCTAGAAAGGCTGGCAAGTACTTTTGATGCAGGGAATCAAAAAGCAACATGAAATCAGCATGTAGGTTTTTCACTTCTCATTTCAGAGGAACCTAGCTGGTCTTCCTGTTCATCAAATGGATCACAGCAGCTAAGTGGGCCATTCAGGTGAATTATTCTGCAAATTGTCTTGCTTTCTCTTTTTTCTTTCTCTCATTTTCTGTCATTTCTTTCAGTTGACTATAATCTATAGCCATCTTCCTTCACTTTTTTTTCAATTACCCAGTAAGCATTTTCTTTCTTACAGGTGGAGTGTTTTCTCTTGAAGCTTGAGGCATCTGGCAGGAGCTGTAGCTGTAAGTGAATTGCGCTTGACATCAGAAGAGGCTGTTGACTTCCAGAGGTGCAGTATCTTCCCATTGCATTCTCCCAGGCATGTCTGGGGCTCAGCTCCATGTCCTATTTTAGGGATTAGGTGGGACTGCTTTGAAATTGTATGCAAAATACACTTAACACAGCTCCAGAAAGGCACTTTTGGGGGATAAGCTGTCATGATGTACTGCTTCCTCACCTCTTCTCAAATCCCAAACCACTGGGCTTAATATGCACATGGTCAGCACAAGAATTTATTTTCCTATTTGCATGTATTTGCTATTTAGGCAACATTTAGTCAATATTCAGCACTCTCAAACTTTAAGGTCTGGCCTTCATGCTCAGCATAGCTGTTCCCCAGCAGTGGCCCATACCAATAGGTCTCCACATTCTCGGCTGGTTTGGACTTTGTAGGGACTGGGTCATGCTGGTAAAGCAACGCTGACTTTATCATCCCAAAATCTTCCTGAATCTTCATCCCTGAATAGATGGTGCCAGAGACATTTTCTGCTACATGGGTATAGCTCTGAAGGTTTTTCATATCACAGAGGTTGTCACTGTATTTCAGTGTGGATGGCTTGTAGGCCTGGTAGGACACCTTGGTGGTGGTTGTGATAACTGTTTGCAATGGTGGGGCTACGGGAGAGGGGCTGGGACCATACCTGCAAGGGTAGTCCCCACCGTAGCAAGGGTAGTTAGCGCTGGTTTGCACCTGTCCATAGTCACTCTGGTCTCCACTGCCAGTTTTCCCCCAAGCTGGTTTCAGTCCATAGTGTCTGCCAGGGTTATCAAAGCTTTTATCATGGGTGGTCACTGCATTGTAGTGAGATCCATTCAAACTGAGGGGATCTGCATCGATGGCAGGACCTGTCAGATCTTTGTAAAATGTTGGGTAAGGGCTGGAGCTTATAAAGGTAGGAACTCCAAACTCATAGCTACATGGCCTGGGCATGTAGATCCTTGGATTGGGGCACTTTGGGTATGGTGACAGCTGGTCCTCTTGGAAGCTGGCTGAGTCATAAGATGCTTTGTAAAGGTCAGTGTTTTGCAGCAAAGGGTAAGACTGGTCTGGAACAGAAAAACTGGTGTCTGTGATGATGCCAGCCCTTTCTGGGCCATCCATGCAGGGCAGATTCTGTAGGTTATTGGCATAACCACTGCTGTCGTGGTACCTTCCTGCCTGACAAGGACAAGTAGATCTTTGAGATTCATGCATCAGTACTGCCCACGCACATGGATATGTCTCAACACTTGCGCTATTGCCGATTTCAGCCCCAAATCAACAGATGTAGCACGATGTAAAACATTGTTTTGCCCAAGGATCCCCAGTACATGCTTATGACGCTGTTATAATTGACTAATGACTTTGACTTACCTCTGAGTTTAGAGGTCTCTTTTTCTGGGAATGGTGGAAAGAGGACATTTGCTTCTTAAATGCACTTCGCCTTGCCTCTGCCTCCAACTTACTCTCTGGCCTGGGATGGTCATGGACTCCTTTAGCCTAAATTAGGATTAACAAATAATTAGATGTGAACTGGAAGGGGGTAAGAGAAAAGAAAATGCAATAAATAGAATGAAACATAGCCACAGCACAGGGGAACAGGCAGGAAGTGCTAAACAATAAGGAGGGATTTAATGTAAAAATAAAAAAATAAATAGGGATTTACAGGTATATAGAAGGAAAAAGTGAAGGAAAAGTCAATGGGGACTGCAGAGCTGTTGAAGGAGAAAAGATATTACCTACACTTGTGACATTAAGGAGTAACTAATTAGAACCAAGGGGGAAAAGAGTTTATAAATTTAGTTTGGTTGGTTTTCTACAGTCCAGCGTCGCAGTTCTACTTTGTAACAGCCACCACTAGAACAGTGTAAATAAAATAAAAGAAAGAGGTTTTATGCCGCCAGCCTTGAATAGGACTGAAAAGTATTCCCTGGAAAGGCATTCAAAGATGCTCTGCTATTGAAACATCTGTGGATATGCAGATCCATGTATCCAAACCTATACTGATACATGATGAAACAATATATTTAAACATGTCCTTACCCAGTACACTCCCTTGAATGGGCCTTCTCAAAGTCCCTAAGACAAAGTAGGAAACTTAAATTGCTTTTAAAATGCTGTCCTTTCTCAAATAGGAATTAACTTCGAAGCAAGGATTTATCAACTATTTTGATGGTAAAAATCTTCAGGTTTTGCATGTCTGTAACAGAATAGCTGAACAACAACAAGAGCAGCAACAATACACATGAGAATTTGAGAATGTGGCTAGTTTTCTTCCATATACTGACTGGAGAACAGAATTCACTGCCGTGGGGGTCCAGGAAAAGAAAAAAGAATTGTATAGCAGAGAATGTGATCTCATAGAACAGAGACTTTTGTGATTTATTTTTTTTTTGGTCCTACTGATGCTAAAAGAGAAGAAATCAACATTTCAAATTTTAGCTTTTTAAATTTCCTTCTTTTCTGCCAAGTTTTTAAAACCGTCTTAAAATTGAAATATTATTTTCACATGAAGTAGGAATTTCACATTTCAACTTGCACAATTTAAGCAAGGTTTTTCTTTCCCCATTTAGTAGGAAATAAATATTAGGTCCTTGGTGCCATTCAGTTGTCAGCTACGCCAGGGTGCAGGACAACCATTTTGTTAAAATTCTGCTCTTTACAGTACACAAATATGAGACATCAGTTATGTTGTTATAGTTAAAACTGAATATAGTTAACTCACAAGCACTGCTTTTAAAAAGACAGCCAAGTGGTGTTGTTTTATTTGTTCTTGCCATGTTTGTACTAGAGAGGACAGTCATGGACCAGAACTCCAACATGTTCACCATGCTCAATGTTACACAAGGAAAAATGAAGAAAGGGGGCGGGGGGAAGAAAGAGCAAAGCAATGGATCTCAATATTATTTTTATATAGATATAATTTATATATAGATGTATCATACATATGTGTGCACACATGTATGCATGCTTTTTACCTGGAAAAATATTGCTTTGCCATCAAGCCTCCAGAAGTTAGTGACTGGATAGCCACTGTGTCCCCGGCAAGGGATCAGTTCAAGGGCTGAATTACAGTTTGGGCAGGCTTTCTCTGCAAATACAAAAATAAAGAAACTACTGAAGACGCTGTTTAAAGTCAAGGATGTTGTCTGAGAGTAAACAGAGCTCAAGAGCAATAGTCTCAGCCTTCACTGAAATTCAGATTAAAATATGACGTTCAAAGAAACACAACATAGACTACTGAGTGTAACTGAATGGTGGAAACTAGACCTGCGTAATTGAAATAAATGCTAATGAATTAAAGGGAAATGGATCTAAGATCCTTTAAGTATTTGCAGGCAGACATCGATGAAATTTGGAAATTAATCACAAAATAAATGTATTCATCACTGTCTTTTCAATGATGCCTTAATCTTCATGCAAGGGTGATCCGTCAAGCCGAGCTGAAGGAAATGGGGTCCCTTGGGCATCCCAACTCTCCTTTGTGCCTCTCACTTTGCTGCTTCTGCCGAGCCTTGTCACATATGGCAGGGCGAAGCTGCAGCCTGGCTCCGCTCGGCAGGGCACAGCTCCGGGCGCACACCACCACCCCCAGGCAGGACTTCTTGAGGATCTGGCAGTTGTGGTTGTTGGTGTTGCGCATAGCCCAGCCGCTGAGGTGTCTCTGTGCATTCTTCTCTTCACTGGAGTAGATGAGCCGCACGTAGCCGTCGGGCCACTCCTGGAAGGCATCAAAGTGCTTGGGCTCCTGCAGCAGGGCAAGCAGGGGTGGGAGGGCAGGCAGCAAGGAGGAGAGCAGGAGAACATTAGCAGGGTATTGCAACCTGATGTTTTTGCCCTGTTAAAAATTGCATAATGGGGATAAAGGGCTTTTTCTATGACCACCTGAGCAGCACGTGAATTGAGAGAGTTATTGAGAGAAATGCCCTAAAAAAGGGGAAAGGCAGTCTGAGTTTCCATGTCTCAAAAGAAAGTCAGGATCCTTTCCTCTTTTGCATCATGACCTGTAATAACATGGTCCATTGTCACAGGTGCCTCTTCGCAGTGAGGTTACCCAGCTGTAAGAGAACAGCCTTGTTAACAAGACTTACTGACTGGTCTACTATGGGTCCAGCCAAGCAGGACAGAAACCACCCTGCTCACACATGCTGTTAAAATTAAAGTTCTGTCCCTCATGGAACTGTGCATCTGCAGGCTAGAAACTAGAAGTTTTGGCTAAGGAATGTTTTCTTAAAGTTCATCTAATAGGAGTTCAATAAGGCTCCTGCCAAAAAATAGAAATAGAGGTTACCATTGCAAATATACTTCAAATATCTGCATAGTGGTTCAGTGAAAGAACATTTCAGTTTGGGATTTCACTGGCTTTCTGGAGTTCCTTACCAAAATAAATTACCAGAACAATGAAAGAACGACTAAGATTTTAAACTTCAAGTTTGAAGTAAAGAGCAAGTGAAGAGTTCCTGCAACACTCATTTAACATATGCACTGGGACTGCTCACAGCATTTACAGCATTGAGCCATTCTCTAATTGTATAAGCTTTGTAAAACGATATAAACTCTAAGACAAAAAAGTTGTGAATTAAAAAAGCACTTTAAGCTCATAATAGAGAAAAGCAGAGTAGCAAATAACAATAATGTCACATCAACAAACCAATGAAATATTTAGACAATTTGAATTACAGTAGCAGAAAATGGGCAACCGAAGATTCTTTTCAACATTATTTAAGTGGGAAACAAGGGAGAAGGAAACCAGCGAAACAACAGAGCTTGAGATTAATTTAGAAGGTCATGCACAGCTGGCCAAAGCTGCACATCAAATCCATGTTTTTGTTACAGGTCATTTTGTAAGGACTACTGCTGCACAAGTGGACACAGGTTTGAAAAGGTGCTGGAGAAGTAAAGCTGCCACAACACCAAGCTTTGCCTAAAGGGGAGATTTTCCCCCTGCTGCCCCGCGTTATAGCCAGCAAGGGATGTCTATACCGCACCCCCCCCACCCGGTACCTGTGGGAGCTGGGGGTCGTTGATGTCCCAGGTGAGCTTCATGCCGGGGGTGGTGGCAGGCGGCTGCTTCTGCTCTCTTATACCGTCGAG